TCGCCCGAGGAGGTAGAAGGCCAATAAACCTGAGGCAGTGTCTGCCCGGACGAAGCCCTAGCTATGAATGAAAGAAATAAGGGTACTGCTGCCTTGGCCTGGTGCAACGCAGCATAGCCTTTTGAGAGCATGCTGGAGCCTAGGTACAGGAAATAGAATTATAGACAAAAATATTGAAAAAAATCACAGCATATTAGTTGGCTGAATGATGACGAGTGGGCGAAGCTCCGGAGATAAATCATCGGTAAAACAGTGAATCTTCCTTGTGCTAATTCGCCCAGTCGATCATCGTGTACAGACATCATGAGAAACACCGTATGTGTATATATAAAAAGCTACTTTTATTTATTCTTAGAGACGATAGATGGCTTGCAATGTCCCTTCATTATGACGCCTTTATGGTCCGTGCAATGAAGGGTGAGCGGTTCCTGTGTAGGTTGTGGTGGAAGATTTGCAAATACTAGGTCAATGCATGTTCCTCGCACCGTGGTTGGTTTCATATGGTCGTACGATATACATCCATGCGTCCATCCATACGTCCTGTCCGTCTGTTCATGCGTCCGTCCGTGAGTCAGTCCATCCAACAGTACGTTCGTTCATGCGTTCATCCGTCCGTACGTCCGCGCGTCCGTCCATCTGTCTGTCAGTCTGCTAGTCTGTCTGTCCATCCGTTCGTCCGAGCGTTAAACTAGTGAACACTCCAAGTACCGCCATCTCTCATCTCGCATCCCCTCGGCACATACCCACTCTAGAGCGGGTATGTGCCACCGGTGGCTACGTACATCACCAACAACAAACCCCACCGGATGTACACACCCATGCCCTAAGGAGCTTCGCCCCTAAATACTGGGAATTAGAAAAAAAAGAAAGAGAAAACCTAAGAGAAACAATCAAGGCTTTTAATTGAACTAGATTGGTATTCATTATTTCTAATATTCTCTCCTTGGGAGCTTCCTCACTAGCTCGTTGTCACGGGGAGCAGGTTGTACAGCAACAAATAAAGATTATTTTACCTTCACCAAGATAACCATTCCCCTGTAGAAAGGTTCTTCATCGAATCCTTGCGGTTTCGATCACAAATCTCAGAATTAGCAAAATTAAATTCTTTTAACAATATTATGAATTATTAAATATACAATTATTCTGCGATTCTTAGTAACTATTTGTTTATTGGCCAATCCCCTAGAATGGGTGTGCGCACATACAGGCATCATCATCAGCAAATCTTCATCATCATCATCATCATCATCATCATCAGACGCGCACTTTCTTCAGACTTGGCCCCCGCCGATACCAAGCTGCTTTGGTGTTTTTTTCTATGGTACTCGACTTTGCACACGCTACTATACACCCAAAAAAACAAGGCCTGTACTAGTACTGACAATTGCGAGAGTGATTGACTGCTTACTCATTATTTACCTTTAAATGTTGTTGGGTTTTTTTTCAATGTTTCCGGTGCCAACTATCCTTATTGTCGTTCTTTCTGACAAGTCAATGACAGAGTACACTAGCTGAGATCTTGGGTAAGGACAACTATCACAAAATGAAATGGAACACGGACTTAAGCAGTTACATCCACGTATTGTTTATCGCAGCGTTGCCACTGGTGCCATAGTTATCGTTCTGAAGCCAAATAAGCGCCAACGTTTCCACCCCTTTTATTTTCCCCTGCTTTTCTACATATCGTACTTTCGAACATTGCCGTGTAGCTAACGTCGTCGATAAGTCAGAACTAACTAGTAAAGCATTTTTCTCTTTGTTTTCTTTTGTAGGTGTGCTCGTTGAAATTTGTGAAATTATTGAGGAAACTCGACAAACCACACGCCGCTGAAAAAATTTGCAGGTGCATCGACAAGCCCATGCATGCAAAGGTGCTCTAATAAAACATAAAGTAGTGATGACAGGCTGAGTAAATGTGGTGACGCACTGATTTTTGTTTCAATCAACCTGCGGATCACGCGCATTTGGTGCCTAATTATTTGAGCGTCACTGTCAGTAACTTAACATTTGGGGTTTTACGTCCCGAAACCACGATATGTCCTTACCCCCTGTTTGTTCCCTGATAATCTGCTCTCTTCTTGCTACTTAAGGTTACAGGTGTAATTTTCCTTTTCAATGCTCGCTCCATCATCATTAATTCAAGCTAAACCCTCTTTGTAAGCCTCCAGGTTTGTGCTTCGTAAGTAAGTACCGCTACACTGAAGCCGCTATATACATTCCTCTTGAAGGCTAGGGGTGCACTACCACCCACGATTGGAGAATATCTATCGAATGTGGTTCACCCTTATTCTTTTATAGTTATTTCACTGTCATAGTTCGGCTCCCCAGTTACAATCTGTTCTAACGTCAATCCTTTACAACTTGCAGTGTTCCACAAACTCTCACAAAGCGCTGCTCTCTGTCATGCTGCACTTCAGTTTTGCGCATATCAATTTTCAAACCTGCTCATCTGCTTCTCGTGTCCAGTTCAGTAATCATGAGCTGTAGGTCATCCCCTGAGTTAATCATCAAGGCAATGTGACCCGCGAACCACAGGCAAGTATAGTTCAACGATGATGACTCATGCTTGAATCTCGCATCATTTAAAACTGACACTTATTTGTGCAATGTTAAGATGCAATACACTGCATTTTGCAAGTGTGTTCGTGGCAGGTATTCTATGTCACACTGGCTTAAACAGAAGGTAATCACTTACCTTTAACACATACACCCCCCCCCCAAAAAAAAATTAAAAGAGGATGGCTTCCACAGAGTAACAAAAACAAAAATATAGCATTCAAGAGTCTCATAAGTAGGAGAGGATAACTTTTGAAGATTGTTGAATGAAGTTCTGCATTCGCCCATGCATCCCTGGTAACGACGCTGTGCCATACTTACTTAAGTCTGGTTAACGGGAGCGTAGCGTGCTCGCGTATAGTAGCAACAACGGCACAGAGTACAATACAGACATGTCATCTGGCGTGTCTCGCACATAAAGAGCCAACGTGCAATCACAAGTCAGGGCGAGGCAATGACCACGAAAACGAATGCACGCAGCAGGCTGGCTCCCTTTACGAGCAATTTTCCTTTACCGTTGTTGGCGCTGCGGCGGTGGAAGCAAGAACCAGCGCTCTCACCGGTGCAAAAGAGTGGTCGGCTGGCCACACTAATTGAAATGTGACAAGGGTGTCTATGCAGGCTATAGTTGGTATTTCATTGCAGAATTTTAGGAATGTAGCACCGCGTACAAAATTGTAAGAAAGATGTTGACAGGAAGGCGGCACACTCGCAACTAACCTTTATCTTGCGTTGCTTGCACATATAAGGCCAAGGAACTACGTTGGTCCGACAACACCGACACATAATAAACGAAAATAACAGCTGGTAAAACCACCTACCACATGTTAATCATAAAATATTTCCGCTCTTGTTTCATTCTATATCCTTTTATATAGAATCAAATATAAAGGAGAGCCTATATTTTATATAGGCTCTCCATATATTTTATATGGGCTATTCATTGCAGCAAGCGGTGCACGTCAGCCCATTTTGCACTTGGCCGTGACAAGACGCGAGTTCTAAAAAGATTTAGAATGAAACAAGAGCGGGAAATATTTGACGCGTATGTCATCAACAAGTTGGGAAGCAGATGCATCAGTAAGCCGTTTCTCGACCCATTTTCTTCTGAAATAGGTTATCTCGACGATTATCCTAGTAGGCGGTTTTATCTGATTTTATCTTGTTTTATTACGTGGCGATGTTGTCGGTAACAAGTTGTTCTTTGGCTTTATATGTGCAAGCGACGCAAAATAAAGCTTGGTTGACAGTGCTCCTCTTTGCTGTCAACTTCTTACAATCTTGTACGCAGCACCACACCTAAAAAAATTCTACAATGAAATGTGACCTTTATAGTTGCCAAACCAATTCACGCCATACACCGTGCTTAGCGGCGCAGCGCCCCAATTTCTAATACGGGCTTACGAACTAATGCATGATCACAATATCCATTCGTGGCATTCTTGCCTGGAACGCAGTAATAAAGTTACTGACCTTTTTCAACAAACAAACGCAGCACATCGCAGTCAAGTTTATCAGCGACATTTATTTTTTTTTCAATGAGGCACTAGAAGTGAACATTCTTTTTTTTTCTTGCTTTCTTTTTATTCTTTGAAGTAAATGGTATGGCGTATCGTAGCGAAAAACGACATTCAAAAGCAGGGTCCTATCAGTGAATACTATGAAGAAGAGTCGAATACTGTTCGTAGCAAGCGTCTGAAGGGGAGCTAAAGAGACAGCTAGATGTTGTGTTTGACACAAAAGACGGCTGCAGCTGAAAAAAAGCAGCAGAGCCTACGCTCGGATAATTGAAGCATGACCACCGATTGCCTACATGACTGTATACCGCTTGGCAGCGTACCAGCCGTCCCGCCTACGACCTCAGACTTGAGTGAGCCCCCATTGGTGCTGGTTCGTATTCATCCGCCTTTGAAAAGGAGATACCGCAGCCTTTGAAAGTTGGCTCAGTGTATTGTTTGTTTAAATCTCATCTGCGACAGGCGCTATTCGAGCTGCTGAATATCGAACATAATTACATAAATTGCTTTAAAGTAACAGATGACTAAGCAGATTTCATCTTTATCACATTTCAACTCACCCTCCGTCCTCTAAATGTTTTCTCTGAATATATTGAAACCTTACATATCCCCCCCCCCCCCCTTCCTTTGTTCGTTATGCATGCATGAGCAGGCATGAGGCCACTTCACCCAGACCTGCCTTCCCTGCTTTCCACCGTCTCAGTTTGTTTAAACTTCGTATCACACCTACAGCGCACAACGTTGAGAGTATATATCAGCTTCGTTTGTTTGTTTGTTCTTACAGCAAGAAATAGTTCAGCACGTTTATCTATAATTACTCCTAATTCTTCTCTATTTACCAACAAATGAGAACATAAATTTTGTATCATAAAGGTGAAAAAGCAGCAAATAACAATTATTACCTTATTTTCAAGAAATATGCATTGCTGCTGTTCTCTTGAGTGTTTTTATTATTATTACTATTTGTAGTTCACCAAGCTGCCTTAAGTGAGGCTCACTCAAGGATTGTTGAATCATTTATAACTACAAAACGCACAAAGACGCCCATTTTAAAAAACGAGAAATGCTAACCTTGCATCGCTTCTGCGGCGTTGCATGTTGTGTGTGTTAGATAGATTGGTCCTAAACTAAATCAAAACTTCATTAACGCGCAAGTGCGCGATTTTTAAGCTGGGCGAGCTTACTTAAAACGGCTTCGAGGCCAGCCCCGATATGAACGCTGTTTCAATAACGTCTATCCTTGCAGTACTTGTCTTCGTACGAAAAGTTCGACGTAGAGTGCGCAGCTGACGGCGTCGTCTCTACCGCAGCATGACCAAGGACGCCGCGAGTGACACAAGCACGCTGACGATGCGTGCTAACGAGGAATCGGCCACCGTCGGAGCCGCAGAGGCTCTCTGCTCCTGACACCGTGATCTCAGCCGGGCGCCGTCGCCGAGACACGCGGCGTAGTCGACCAAATGGGCAACGATGTGCTGCTCCAAGACTCCGTGCACCATGTGCGCCATTGGGCCAATGGCGTACAGCGCCACGTCTTCACCAGCGTGCGTCTCTAGCCGCAATGGGACGGCGCTCACCTGCTGGTAGTCCACGGCCTCTGCGAGGTCCAATCAATCAATCAATTGATCAATCAATCAGCGAATGTTATTTCAATGATTACGACGTACTGCTTGAAAATAGATGCCGCAGTAAATAACTTGACCTCCTCGAACGATCCATTGGGGTACCTACAAAAGCTTTGAGGCTTCTTCGATCGTATACATCACTTTTGTTGACAGGTCTCTTTATTTTTCGACGAATGTCAGTAGGTCACTTCCAATGTTAGTCGCTAAATAAATTACGGCACCACATGAGAGAAACGTCAACGCAACGTTAGGGGATTTGCTAACAGCGGCGTCGAGCAGCTGTATGCATGTGGGAGTAAATGTGGCAGTAATCAACTGCGCCCCTAGTGGCAGTATAGGTATCAGATCTTGATGACGTCTGCACGAGATGAGAGCAAGAGGTAATATTCAGCGTAACGAGAACTCACCAGGCGTCTCAACGCACCGACTTGCAAGGGGGAAATGGTACTGCTGAAAACGCGTCAAGAATAGGAACGCGCTTGCTTGCAACGGATAGCATCTGCCCTATTTTGACACAGACCATATTGAAGGTATTAAATTTCACTTTGTAAGGCGTTGTTGTGATGTTATCTTACAGAACTTCTTCTGAATGTCTATGATATACCATTTCTTTTAGTTAAAAATGACGAAGAGATATCTTTTGATGCATGATAGTTTGCTATTTTGCCGAAAAATGACAGGTGTGAGTGTGTTTGTCATGAAGATTGATGAACGGGTGAAGCTGCTGCATCGAAACTCTTGGCATGAGTGCGCTATAAGGAAAAGCCGTACGAACCACTATTAAGAGACGTTCTTTATATCTGTGAAAAAATGCGGTCGTGTTAGCCCTTCTCCGAGGGGTAGCGATAGGAGCATGTCGGGTTGTTCTTTGTTGACGGTGGTTAGGCCGGAGGATGATGTTGGTGATGACGCTATCCCAACAGTGTTAGCCTGGTAGACCTGGCCGACAACTTAGTGACTCTTTTCAACCTGTATGTCTCGTCATGCATCCTACACCAGACTCAGGCGTATAACTGTAAAATAATACCAGACGCCACCTTTCAAATAATTCGTGCACCTTCCGAAACTCCTCACTCTGATTGCAAGAATACCTCGTTTCTTAATATTGTCGCTTAGCATCTCCCTTTCAAAACAAAAGCGCTTGCAGTACCAGATGCAGTGCTCTATATCGCAAACTTCATTGCACTCAGGGCACAATGCGGAAGGAGCTTCTAATATGAACGCTATGCTGGAGAAGCACGCTAGACACCCAGGTGCCCAGCACAAAGCATGCGCAAAATAGAAGGAGGAAGAGGTTGAAATGGAGACAGACGCCCCCCTTCCCCTGATCATCCGAAGCGGGGCGCCAAGGCTACCGCCTTTCCTCGTTTACTCAATGGGGCATTTCACGTCATTTTTAATGCGCAGGGTTATGAACACGCGTGATGTAATGGTCCACCGAGGACCTCTGCTGTTGCATTCAACTGCTTACTTCCGCCTTTACCTTTGAAGATCAAGAAACCGATGGTGGCCTTTGTGGAAAGCACATCGTCCCTTTTCATTTTGTATCCATGGTGAAGTTCACTTGTTTGTTTTTCCCGAAATTGACCAAATATTGACCAAGGGGGGGGGGGGGGGCACTGAAGTGACATATGACTTCCTCTAATGGAAAGCTCTGCGCACCCTTATGGCACCCTCTGTGCCTTTGTTGACGCCCTGTTCTTCAGCGGCACTAACCATAGTAGGGAGTCATAGAATAGGCACCACAAGCCCTTGTGGTTGCAGTCGCTGACACTGCGCATGCGTCTTAACGCTAGCCGCTGTTCGTGTTCGCTGCCCGCCCGCAGACAATCCGAGGTAGCGGATGGCGTGTGCGGCCCGCAAACGCTGGTTTCGAGGCTATGGGTCGCTTGCGATCGTGTGTTGCGGTTTGCATGAGGGCAAATGCTATTCTAAAGCTCGTATGGCGCCCGCTATGCCCGCAACGCCCTCAGCGCTTGAAAACGTTACTGTAAAACTCCCTTGTAACTCGCATTGCACAGAACGTAAACTCACCCGTGTTCACGTCGGCCTTCCTCTTGGTCGTCGAGGGCCCGTTGGCGTAAGAGAGTGTGGTGTAAGGAAGACCGTCCTTCTCGGAGATTCCGGCAAATCCCAGGATATGGTTTCCCCTTGCAGGGTAGCCGTTCATGGTGAACGAGTGCGAGTGGTCAGCGGTGACCAGCACCAGGGTTTCGCGCACGTCAACCAGCTCCAGGGCCGCGGCCACCGCATCGCTGAACTCCGATGTCTCGCGCAGCGCCAGCGCAGCCCGATTCTCGTGATGTCCGTGGTCGATGCGACCGCCTGCGAGTCACATTGTGGGTTTTTAATGTTATCAAGGTGGAGGACGATTGGGCCAGTTGGTGATACGTGATCTAAGAGTACTACGTCGTAGAAAACACGGATGGGAAAAAGGCAAGAACAAGTGCAACTTTAAACTGCAACAAACTTTCATATTGGCGAAAATGCATGGTATCCTCCTGCCAGCGCTAGGTAAGAAAGCCAGGGTGGTTTTTAATTGAGAAACAGCAATGAACTTTCACGCTGGCTAAAACTGTTCGAGGTGCCGTACAAACCAACCGACGAGCGGCAACTGAGCGAGCGAGCGCCGACCTTGAGTAATATACAGCGCGACGGCGCGTGCACTGTCAGCTGTTGAATGTTCTCGAAGGAGAAGCGCGCGCGCGGCACAGATGGCGACGGCGCGACGGCGCATGCGCTGTCAGCTGTCGAATGTTCTCGAAGGAGAAGCGCGCGCGGCACAGATGGTGGGCGACGGCGCGACGGCGCATGCGCGCGCGTCAGCTGTCGAATGTTCGAGAAGCGGTGCGGACATAGCGGACGGCGCGGACGGCGCGGACGGCGCACTACAAGGCGCGAGTATAAGATGCTTCCGCATCTAAAAGTTCTCTGGACGGATACACGCGTTCTTATCCGACCATGTGTCTGCTCACTTCCCCTTCACCTTACTAGAGCGTTGGAAGTCGTGCCTAATATAAGCTTCGGGTAAGGTGGTCCTAACACGAGCTTTTATCTCAACTTGGAGCTAGTCTCACTTACCTATGGGTGCTACGTGTTCATACTGCTGTATTACAGTGACGCAACACGTGCATGCTGTCTTACACCGACATGTGATGGGCTACAGTCGGAAAGCCCCCGTCACCTGCCGCAAGCCGACCTTCGTTACAGTGAAATGACCATTTACGACCGCTAGATGCAAAACAGATTCTACGAGACTTGAAATCACTCGCAATACCAGCCATGGTAAAAAACATCTGTTATGCTTGTACACCAAAAATATTATGCATCATGGGCAAGTCTGCGAGACAACCAAGCAACAAAGCATTCAGACAGTAAACCTTCCTGAGGCTCATGAAACGGTTATAGTGTACATTTATCGATTCAGCGGTGGCGAGGAATACGCATTCTGGAACATTAAAGCAGAGAGTACACTATCGTTCCTTCTAGTGAAATCTTTGAAAAACTAAAAAATAAAAACAGTACGGGAAGCACCTGATTTCACGTACTCCCTGTTCATGTCCAGGCTTTTCCGACATAGGTGAAACTTTTCTGTATCATTGAAGGCTCAGGACGAAGAGACTAAGTACACGCGCCCGCTCACTCACTACTAATCATGCCTACACGTTTTGTGAAAACAAACGCTGTGCAGCGCTACACAACAGAAACTGCTCTTTTTTCTTCTTTAAAGGCACTAGTGAATATGGGTGTGATTTATTTACCCTCAAGGGCCTGCATACATGGCATAACACTTTAGAAACATACTTCAGAGGATGAAGTACTTAGTACTTTAATAAACAATTATATCGGGCAAGTTGGTATGAATCCATCTGGTAGAAAGCGCACAACTTTTCACGCAGCTGTAATTGTGTCGCGTGTTCCTCTGAACACATTGTGTGCTTCTTACCAAGATTGGTCCAAGTACCATAAGGTGGAATTAAGGGTAACTAAAAAAAAAGTCACCGCTTGCCGCAAAGGCGAAGCAATGAAAGTGATAGCAACATATTGGAAGGCCAGGCGCACAATGGAAAGCGGATCTTTCGATCTGCTTTCCATTCTGCACCGTTCCTTACGTATCTCACGCCAAATGACGCACTAAACGTACTCAGAGGTACATATGAACGCGAATAAGCGCCTCAGTTGTCACTGCGCTGCGTCTGAAAAGTACGCCTTTTTCGCAAACGGAGACTGCGATGATTGCAGTGAACTTGTACACCCGGTGACTACCACAGTGTCGTTCCAGTGAAAGCCCAAGGCCATCCAAGGCGTACGGTTGTCCTCACCGCGAGATAAGCGAACCCACGTGTGAGCGTCCACCCTGCCTCCGCGGGGCAAAGTACACGTGAGTGAGAGCTCGCTCTACAGGCGTCTTGACAATGTGGCGACGTCCGCTCATTGCGCCATCTCGCTGGTAATGCTGAAAAAATGATAGTTGTCCCCAGAGATTATTCATCACCCGTAGTAGGGGGGTAGATACAAGGATGTTTGCCGTTTTAACGTTTGAAGGACCGGCACTCCTTCGTGGCTTAGTGGCTAACGCTTCGCACTCACAATCAGAGAGCCCGACGTTCTATATCTCGCGCCGCACTCTCTTTAGGGGAAAAGCATCCTTAAAGCGGCACCCGGTCCGTCCCTCGTAGTAGGCGTACATGGTCTTACGCTCTAACCTGCAAGGTGGTGCTGGTGGTAGATTTTCTTCCTGCGCGTTGTTGGACAATAAAAAAATTGCAGCGTGCGCGTTAACAAAAAGCCGAATTTCCTTTTCTCTCGTTTCCCGATTAGCAGCCATTGGCACTGTACCACTGAGCATATATGACAAGAAAGGTTGCTACGTATTACTCGCTGGGCGTAATCATCCTTGGTTTTAAAAGGTTTTAGCGAGCGTTGGGCCGGCAGTGCCATCAATACAGTGAACTAGTATATACCACGAACTTGAGGTGGTTAAAGTTGGGAAGTAGACACGAAGCGCAAGCCGTATGAAAGCGTGCGTGTGCCACCTCTCGTTTAGTCTTTGGAATGTCCACAGGATGGCGGTGCTTCTATATGCGGAATATATGATGAAAAGATGCGAGATGGTGGTACTTGGAGTGTTGACTAGATGGACGAACAGAAACACAGACAGATGCATGGACGGACGCACAGATGGCTGCACGTACGGATGGACGCATGGACGGACGCAGGGCAGGATTCATAGACGAACGCACGGATGGACGCACAGATGAACATGCGGACGCACGAACAGACGCACGCACGGACGGGCGGATTGACGCATGGACGGTCACACAGACGGACGCAAGGACGCATGGAAGCAAGAACGAATGGACGGACGAATGCTTCGCCCCACTCTCCATCATTCACTCCGTGGATATGCTTCCATTGTTTTTATTGATTGCTTTCTGATAGCTCACCAGCTACATTCACGAGACAATGATTGCAAACTGTAATTCTGTAACAACGCGCCGTCTGTACTCACTACAAACGGTAAAGTCAGTTACTCTTTTTTCAATGCGAAGCATTTCTTAGCGAACTTCGGCGACTTTGAGCGTATCTATCTAGCTGCCTACGACTTTTAGCTCTCCTGGCCGTCTCGATAATGGTATCGATACCAAACTTGGCGTGCCATAACATAACAGTATGAAGAACACATTTGACTAGTAATACATGAAAATCATGAAATGCACGTCATTATTGTCATGATTTACATTTCATGATCCAGCAGCTCTTGCAGTGGTTTGGTTCACATGGCATGTTGCAAAACTGGTATGGTATGGCATGATTGCATGGCTAACACAAGCGACAGACCCTAATGTGAAAATCATGACATGCGTGTCATGTAACAACATGACACATGCCAC